TTAGCCTCGTCGTCTGTATCGTGGATGTGTTTCTAAAGTTCGGCCGGAGCCCCCCAACGAAACGGTAAACGTTTTCAAAGCTAGTCATTTTCTGGATTTGGCTGAGAAGGTAACTTGGTTTAGAGACGTGCCCGTGTGTCAGCCGTATGATGTGTGTGGCTTCTGGTGGGTATGGCGATGGACGAAAAGGAAGCAGACACCAACATTACTGGGCCCGAAACTGATATCCTGAAGTAAATAGAATTTAACAAAAAACTATTGAAGGAGCTAGTGCTACGTAAGATTTGACAACGCCTCGCAACATCTTTCCAACGTTGCCACCTTCTCGCTGCACTAAACAGAACTTTAACTAAATAAGAGCTCATGCGGGTGATGACACATGCCTTTGTCTAGATTAAGTAGTGCATGACATTAGCTTACATGATAACACGAAGCTTACCTCCAGATATAATAATTATATAAATAATTTTTAGATGAAATAGGTCCGTGATTTAGTACCATTTTCGGCGCAGAGGGTACTGCATACTCTAATTGTTGGAGTGCAATAAATAAAGCCTACGGTACTAACTGGACCTCATTGAAAAAGCGATGCTTTTGCTGTGCATTACCTGCAATTTAAGTCAGCATAAATATCTTGTTTTTTTCAGCTTCATGTCCGCTCCAGCAAAGTTCTGTTTAAAATTTTCAAACGAAAATCTGAACTTTCATTTCGTGGAAGTCCTTTACTATTACGGGTACCATTAAGTATGAAGAGTATGTAAAAAAAATCGTATGACTATCGTATTCGTTGTTGTCGATGATACTGGAAATGTCTCATTTACCAGCCCAATGATGCTGGTCTGCTCCGGCGTCATAGCACTTCTGTTGGATGTTATAATGACTTGCTATTTTTAATAGCGCGAGCGTTATGTTGAGACTAAAGCATATAGCTGGGGGCTGATATGTATCACTTCTCCTTAAAGTCGGTCTTTTCCTTTTTTTTTTTTTTTTTTCGCGTGAGAAAATATTACTTCGTAGCTTTTGAGAGAAATCAAATATTATAGAAGTTAATGAATGATGACGCGTTTAACACACATCAAACTATTCGCTTGATAACGGTGGAACGCCTCATGATGCGTGAAATTGTTGTAAAGGAATGAAAAAAAAGTAGAGTACTATTCTGAACGAAATACAGTTTAACAACAAAAGGCTCTTTTATATCAGCTTAATTTATCCATATTAAATGAGACTCTAGAAAAATCGATTATAGGCCAAACTTGGAGTAGATGATATCGCATATCATCGTAGTATAGCGTTAAATACTGATGTTTTTTTCTTGAAACAGCAAATATGTACTGGTAATTCACAACATAACATTTGTTTGACCTTAGCAAAGCTCTGTTTCAACGAAACGTTACTGAGGTAAGACATTCATCTCAATATGAAACTTATATATTGTATATTCATTCTCTTGCCGATTAAGGCGTATGGGTAAATGTAAAAGCGTGCCAACGATGGGGTTATCAAAATTGAGTGTGTCGCTAATTCCAGCATCATCCGTTGAAATGGATATTAATGCCTTTGTTTATGCATTGTTGGCGTTGGGCCCATGAGTGGCAGTGAGGGTCTCCCCAATGTAACGAAAGAGAAAATCAACAAACTGGCGACAAAATAAGCTTCCCTTCCATTCCTGTCTGTCCTCTTGCCGATTCTGCGCCGTCTGGTTCTCTTTTCCTTTTCTATCAAAATACCGGGAGAGCATTTGGACTCCAAGCAAGGACTCCAAGTCGAACAAAATCGTTATGCTGTCTGGTGGATTTACGAAGGTCGCCGTTGTAGAAAATTGGCTTTTTACTTATGTTTCTCAACGTTGGTCGTGGTATTTTTTCATTCTATCCTTTTGTTTGGTCAGGAATCAAATAGTCCGAGAAATCCCAGCAGCGTCTTTCTGAGCCGTTAGCCGCGCCCCTACTATTGTTCATCCTAAATGCGGTTGAAGTTCAAAGTTCAGAGCTGCTCCATTGGATTAGCGGAAAAGTGGCCAGTCAATCAGCTGCCGAAGCGGTCGGCCAATGTCGCAGATGTCACAGGTTCAACGGAGGGAAGCGATAGCAACAACCGGGGGCAAAAGTGGCGTCTGTTTCGGTGCAGCAACAGCAGGATCAAGAGCGGGCAAATGGACTGCTTGTCATCTGACTATGCGATGGGAACAGCCGAACAGCGAACCTACTAACTGTGTTAGGCCCAAACGCCAAGCGAGATCAAATTAAATCTGCCAAGTAGAGGGCTCGAGAAAGGATGAAACAAGATGTTGAGGTATGAAATTGGAAAGAGGGCATAACCGAAGAACTCAAAGTGGCCAACGATGTTGTAGTCTCTTTCAAAAAAGCAGCTCCGCCATCGACGCCTCGAACTCAGAATGGAAGCGGCAGCGGTTTGGAGCGGTATTTCGACGGGCAGAGTAGCGAGCAGCGGGCGCGGCGATAGAGTCAGTGGCTGTAGTAGCCTCATCACTACAGTTCTTTTGGCACTCCGTGACGTCACCTACTGTTGTTGTTATACTTTTCATTTGTTATTTCAGGAGTCCGTTGTGGCAGCGCCGGCGGCGGCGACAGGGGCAAAGAAGGAACGAAAAAAAACGCTGAACGGAGACTAACTGGCGGAGATCGCGCAGGAGAGCGAACAGGGTAAAAAGAAAAGGGGCCAGCTTTTGGTAATCCAAACGGCGTTGTTCTGGCTCGCGGTTCTGACGCCGCTTTGCTGGAACCATTTGCCTCGGGGCTCAATTACCGCCAAAAGCGGTTCTTTCTATTTTAGCTGGGGATGCAATACGGGAAAGTGGGGAGCACGGACGAGATGGCACAGAGGAATAAGATAGTCAGTTGACTCCACTGGCACATCGCAGTGGCAACAGGATCGTCCATAAAAAGACGAACAGCTACCGCTAAGCTGTAAGCTATGCCACCTCTAAGCTCCGAACTGTAGGCCGTTCACCTTCTACCGCAGGAAGTGAACACCTCTCCCTTCTTTATCAAGGTGTTTTGGCTGCGCCAACCATGAGCGGAACCTGGTGGAAAAGACAACAACCCATAGCCAGGGTAGCTAGCTTACTACACTGCCAGTTAGGGAACTGGAATCTAAGCGCCTTTCGTTTGAAGACAATAAAACTGTCTTAAAGGCTCCTTCCATTCCAAAGTCTTCCTTTCAAATGTGCCAAGCTTAGTGAAGCCTAGAATGAATCAGCGCTAGTACATCTATCTATAAAATCCCTATGTGCCATTCCTTTTAACTTTAAGACAGATACGTTTGTTAAACTCTCAAAACGCGGCTGACCTTCTCAATCTTCTTGTCTTAGAGTTGTGGGTCGGCATCGGCTTGAATTGCCTCTATCTCATAAGAAGACACCTAACTTCGATTAGAAAATGAAGGCTTTACATTATATGATGTGCTATACACGCCTATTGATCAGTAAGAGAAACGTGGAATACTAAAGAAATATGGACTGCTAAGGAAACTCATGTTCAAAGGAAGTTACACTGAAAGGATTTAACAAGAGTAGTCTTTCATAAAGATTCCGCGTTAGTTTTTTTTCAGATTATTTTCACCAGGTATTAAGGGGCAGGCGCTATACACAGTATAGAATTTAACGATAACTCCCTACCGATCAACTTCAGATGTCAGTGATACTTTTAGTTGTTGTGGAGCAGTCAAATCGCTTTTAAAATTTACTTTTTAACACGTAGCGGTTTCATATAAATTCGACACAGAGATAAATGCGACCGACGCATTTTCGTACGCCTGAACAGAAACTACATTAGGGACTAGGTACAGTAAGGCGCTCATAAAGTTGCTTTACGTAAAGTATCTTAAACTGCTGAAGCAGAAGCTGTATGTCACACGACATCTTATTGTCGATAACCTTGAAGGACGAAAATCACTTCTATAAGATCTCTTAAGGTGGACGTTGTGGTGAAGATCATACATTATCTCTGCAGTAGACTTCACGACAAAGTTCACATGAAGTACATTCAGATACAGACCTTATTTCTCTTTCATATTCAGAGAGCACGCCTATGCAACGTCCGGATACGTTCGCCATCTGAATGAACCCGACATGAAATGAATGTCGGCTCTGTGCATAAGGATCATATCATTCATTATCGACAAGACTGGCTTAGAATTGAATAACAGCGATTTTATAACCGGCACTCACTTCTACATCCTAATCCCCATCGTACGTATAACCCATAATATGTATAATCGCATTAAAGCAATATATACTAAATCTCTTATTATATGTATAATAGGCCATGCGCAATTTCATGCAGTCACTCATACTTACGGTGAGCACACACGTGCTGCCTAAATATCTCGTCCCTTAAATTACGAACGTGAAAGAATCTGTCTCCTAGTGACTACTACTGCTAATAACATATGAAAATATACGGTTTACGGTCAGAAGTAAGAAGCTCAACAATAAATAGGCATGTGCTTCAGGGCATGGAGAGCTAACCGCTCATATACAGCACGGATATCGGGAAGACACAAATTAAGCCAACATTTGGTTTGTCCGTAGATCTGGACTATAACCTATATCACTAATTCAGATTCGGCATAAAGAAACATGCACATATTTATGACCTCTTTCGTTCTACGTCTGGCCAATTATACTGGCCAACTTGATGAAATATAAAAAAACGACGTAAATTTGCGCCAAAGAGAAACGCGTTTTATTTGTCTTTAGATGACATTTTGAGCATCACGACCATTGAGATTTAAGGCACGGGTCACGTCGATCGTTTTCTATTCTCGAATAATTATTCACTAGTAAAATGCCGGTATATACAGACTAATAGTGTTGATACAGTCCGGTAATCATTGACCTTTTTTTGGTGCAATGGGTCCAGTCATAGATTTGTCATTCCTTAAATGGCTAAAAGAAACAAGTAAAATCTAATCATACAGATCGTCGACGAGTGTTTCGCGCCTCTTTTTTTTCTTGAAAATCCTATACTTAGTTCTTTTTTTTTTCAATGTTCTTTCTTTGTCCGTTCACTGTAACAGTTACTGATCTCTACGGGAGCTGCGCTTGTCCTTTCAAAAGTGTTTTTTTTTTTCTGTCAAACACAACAACGCCCCAGAGATTAAATCAGTTTAGGAACGGATTCTACACAGATTGCGCATAGGGTAGTCGATGTGTATGCTTAAGCGTTATACGTCGACGATGAAACGTTCCCACCGGTTCCTGTCCAATTCGTATGTACGAATTTACCTGGAGCGTTCTCCAGCTCATAGGTGTGAGCTCCAAAGAAGTCCCGTTGGGCCTGTATTCAGATTTTAAAAGAGTTTTAGGCCAAGGTACTAGAGGCGTCCGTTTTGGTAAGTCATATCGACGCTTTCCACAAAAGTATTATTTAATACTTGCAAGCTTCTACGTGCTTCCATAGTAATCGAAGCCGTGATATCTAGTGGCAGATAAGTTCCTTCGCTACCTATTCTTTTCATGTTTCACGTTTTCGGCACTAATGTTCTGTCTGCGATTTTTTCTCACATCACTTCTATGAGACACAATATGATAAGGCTGCTGAGAAATATTAAGAGTTATATACGGGGTGCTCTGTGAAAAGTAGGAATATATAGTTCTTTCATTATTCATCATAACCCGGTACTGATCGCGATTACAGATCCAATTTAGAAACTCCCCTCTAAAATGTTTCTTCCTTAAGCCGCAAGTAACTAATGGTAACCGTGCGTAGCCAGCTTGACAAATGCGAACTCGTTAGCGTGTCGTTCGTAAAATATTCTAGCGAACTAAATTCAAGGCTAAGGGTCCCAAAAATGTAACAGTCTCCAAAAGGCTAGTCGTTCGAGTTTCTCTGAGCAACTCCGGTGGCAATTGGTACCCTCATCTTCAAAACGCTACGACAAACAGCCTGCAAAAAAGTTGACCATTATTAGTTGACGTTCGCGTTAATATTCTTACTTGAATTAAGTTAGCTGATACACGCGCCGAACGGAAGCCGTCATAAAAGGCCAACGCTGTCGAGAAACAAGGTGTTGGAATGCCAAGCTGAACTGCGGTAGCTACGACCGTACGCCACGACGATTGGCAGCGATGAATGGCTTCGGTAAAGAAGTTATCCAGCAGAAGGTTCGTCAGCTCAGAGTTCTTGTCGAAGGCCTTTTTGATATCTTCTAGGAAACGACTGTGTGAATAATACAGTACACATTGTTAAAGTTACTTAAGGCATCGGGCAACTGTGTTATCCTTCGGGCAGAGTATCCATATCATAGCCTAAACCGACCCGTTCACGCTGCGACCACGATAGTTGGAACTCGTACGGCAACGTAAAAATTAATTGGCTAGAATCTTAATTTCTGTTTTATATAGTAATTGATGTACACCATGAGAGATAAATTACTCTTTTGCAATTTAGTTCTCGGTTCGCGTACCTGCGAATGATGCATCCGCCGCGCCACATGAGAGCGATTCCGCCATAGTTAAGCGACCATCCATAAATTTTAGCTGCTTCGCGGAAAAGCATAAAACCTTGTGCATAAGAAACAATTTTCGACGCATACAGTGCCTTTCGAATGTTCTCAATGAACGCAGTTCGATCGCCCTCGTAAGTAGTCGTAGCGGGTCCACGCAACAATTGGGACGCCTCAAAGCGCTCACTCTTCAATGACGACAAACAGCGCGCAAATACGGACTCAGCTGTTCAAGCATAAAAATGAAACGAGCAACAATGAAGAAAACTGTGAACATTTCAAAAGGGCCTAGCTTTCTAAGTAGGTGATAGTTTGGCCTAAATTGTATGGCAATGCAGTATCCCAATATCTTCTATTTAGTTATTGCAACTTATCTTTACGTATATTTAACTAATTAACTTTCTCCAGCCAATGTAAACTGCGCTGCTTGTGTGTTAACAAATTTTCGTATAAAAACTAAAGTCTCCATTGATCTTTCTGTACATGTAAAACTGTCTTCGTGAACATGGCTGCTGTTCCCCACTGCGTTGGAAAATCGTCAACGGCAATCGAGGGCCGTCTCGTTGAACACAGATCAGCCGGAACACACATTACGCCAAACAGCCAATGGTCATTTGAATTTGTTTAATCGGCCAGTGATTAGTTATGCTTAGCCTTTTCGGTAAACTGATTTTCCCAGTAACTCGGAGCTGGCGGGGTTCATTACCTTACCACTTATATACTTTACTAAGCGATCTACAATGTTGACAGTCATCGAGATGGCCGACAGTTGATCGTTAATCGCTTTACAGTCTACCAAACCGTGCAGGTAAATGCGTACCAATGAGGGTAACGGGAATTCCTTTATCGAGTCCAGCAATTGCGGTCCATTTCCCTGTGCCTTTCTGGCCAGCCGTATCGCGAATTTTCTCAACAAGCGGTTCTCCTTTTTCGTCCTTGTAGCGAAGGATTTTACTGGTAATCTCGATAAGGAATGAATCGAGCTCTCCTTTATTCCATTCTTCAAAAACGTCAGCTATTTCATCAGGAGTCATATCTGGGATTAAAGGCGGAAATTAAAGTCGACACAAAAATACAAGCAGCGACAACGGCGATTGAGTGGAGTAAAGTTTCCATTAATCAAGCTTGTTAATACGCTCTCCAAATCGATAGGCACACATAGGAAGTCAGCTTCTAAATAACAGCCTAGCCACTCATGATCTAAGGTTCAATGTGAGAACACGGTTGAAAATTCCTATAGCAGTAGTAAAATAGTTGCAATAATTTATTTATTATAATCACCAAGTGCCTGCTTCATTATCTGATAAGCTTCACAGATAAGCTGCATATCTCCATATTCGATGCCATTGTGGACCATTTTTACGTAGTGGCCCGAACCTCCGTCACCAACCCAATCGCAGCACGGATCCAACAGGTCGGCTTTTTTCGAATCACTCACCTGTACAAGTCACAAGTATAATAATGTTCAATTAACTGATGGTCCACAACGTGGCCGAGCATATACTTCTTTTCAAAGAGTTGACCTAGCTGTTTTCATCGAGCCTAAGTAAGTAAGCAGAGCTAAAGTTGTTCGTTACATGTAAAAACTTATTTGCTTATGGACAATAAAGGACTTGTCTAATATGATGTATTCTGATTTGGTTTCATACGTACTTTAGCGGCAACGCTTTGGAAAATAGGCTTGATATGGGGCCAGGCGTCTTTATGTCCGCCAGGCATCAGTGATGGGCCGAAGCGAGCGCCCTCCTCGCCACCTGAAACGCCGGAGCCCACAAACAGGATTCCTTTCTTCTGGCATTCCTTCACTCGACGCTCCGTATCATTGTATTGCGAGTTTCCACCATCAATAATGATGTCGCCCCGTTCCAACAACGGGATAAGCTTCTGAATGAAATCATCCACAGCTGATCCAGCTAAAAATAGATTCAGTTTGCTGTTAATCAAGCGCATCGTTCTGAAAATGATCTATACAAGATGAAAGCATTTCAGGAAAAGTAATGTGTTCTCCTTCATTTCATATCTATGTTGTACGAAAGCACATTGTCTTTCTGGGTATCCTGGTCGAAGCAAAGATGCAAACATTGTTTTGGATAATGCAGCTTCGCCTCCAATTCATTTACTTCAATACTAAAGCCCTTCAAAAACTGAGACAGGCCATTCACTCGAGTACTCTACGGTAATACAACTAGCAAAAATGATAACACGGGTAAATGTAAAACCTACCTTTGACCAGGAGCATGACTCTTTTGGGTTTCTTCAATTTGCTGACCATATCCTCAAGACTGCAAGCTCCAATTACCTTTGTTCCTTTTGCTTCATTAGCAAGAAACTCATCTACCTTCGCTACGGTACGGTTAAATGCAACAACCGTAAACCCATGATCGTTCATGTTCAGGATAAGGTTTTGCCCCATTACAGCCAGACCGATCAGGGCAATATCTCCGCTGTACGATAAAAACAGCAGTTAAAACTATAATATGTGTGACGAGCTAGCATATATATGTACACTCATGTATGAAATACGCTCAATCGGATCTTCAGCGATAACTGAATCCGTTGCTCGTTTAAGCAGTCTCATTTTAATTTCTGCATGAGATCACAAAAAAATGTACGTCATTTGTCTAACAAAAACAAAGCACGTGAGTATGGATCTAATACTGACTCTATATGTTTAGCTCTATATGTTTAGCACTCGGACAGAACTTATTTCTATGGTATACAAGAATATATTGTTGTCATCAATGCTGCATATATGCTACATTCAGTGATTGTATCAGACTGATTAGGATGTGGTCATTCATACGTCCTCAATAGCGTCGCACCACAATAATTAATATTGTTATTAAAGGAACGTTCAATATTATATCGTGGATCAGATAAAGATATCATTAGGGGAAATTGTTATGGCGTTGTTTAGAGTACAAGGGGCCGCCCCTCTTCGAAGCGTTATAATCGTGTCTTAAACTTATACGCAAATATTTGTGTAAGCGGGGGCAAGGTACGCCGATTCAACTTCTATTTTCAGCTCTTCAGTTTTTTCTTTGTCTTCAGCCGTGATTGTTCTAACGAGATACTGTTATTATCTATTAATCTTATAGATGCGCTAGTGTCTATTAGATTAACGGACGCATCGGTCATCGTCTATTCTACAATCCATGTAGACAGAATTATATAATAAGCCTGATTGTGTGCTATGAGCTTGGGTTTAACTACTAAGGAACAAATCATAAAAGGCAAGTTTATTTATTATTTAGTACCTCCTTTCATCGAAACTCTAATAGAACGATGTTACGATTCATTCTCTTGCTCGAGTCCGGCCCACAATAACGTGGTTAAAACAAATATATCGTAGCCCATACACTATATACAAGTATTTACAAAGTACTACGATAAAACCTAGCAAACTATAAGATTAAGTGTGCAAACAATATAGCGTTTTAGTGTTAAATTCTGAAGCTAACTATATCGTGGTTTGCATAAATTTCTGTATTTGTTCAGGGCCACTCTTTGCGCGCCGGAAGCCGACGTGTCACCCTTTCGTCCACCGTACCCTAATCCGAAAGGCTGAAGGAGTTTCAAGCAAACACCACACAAGTTCAAGCAACAAGTACATCCAGTAACAAACAACTCATTTGGTTCTCTTCGCTTGAAAAGAAGTTGTGAACGGAACAATAGACGACCGCAACTCTGTCGTCTGTTAACTACTATAACGCTAGCTCAGATTCTGGATTTTGGTTCCGACCTTTCTAGTCAGCGCTGAGCAGATCATTTCTATTGAACGTTTATCACCGGTTGCATTGTTTACTGTTCAACGCTATAATGAGAGCAACAGTTACGGCGATAAAAGTCTCGCGGCGTAAGCGCTTAGGCGAACGCGCTGCGCGTATAGCTAGCTATACCGGATCGTCGAATTTTCGTCAGTCACAAAACACGCTGCACAGCGACTCTTGAGACAGCCCTCTCTGGTGTACAGTTATGATACAAATGCAATGGTAACTTATCAGAATTGAAGTATGTATGGCCGGTGGCATTGGTCAAGTCTTAGCATGATGCGTGCAGGTCCGAATGTGCATGTTTAGACGATCGAATGAGGTGGTATATTGATAATTTTGTTTGGAAAAATATTGATATACAGATACGGATTAAAGTGGGTAGGGCGATTGTAATTAAATAGTATCCGCAACAGACCGAAAACACTTTCTTAGGTGTGACTATAAATTTCATACACACGACCGTTTTGTTTTTGTATTTGACAAACACCGCGAAGGGCTTGTGCTCATCTATACCGGCATTGCCATTGTAGTTAATATTAACGACCGCTTTAATTAAATACACAATCGATCTTTTGTTGGACTATTTGCAAAGACGCTTTTGACATACCTGTAAAGTTTACTCTATTAACGATACAAAGAACTAGTTTCCCAATAGTGGCGACTAACTGTATAATAATCAATCGTTTCGATAGGTCCTTTATTTCAATTATTTAGTGATATAGAATAATATATATGTATATAGACACGGATCCAAATGATCTATTCCATTGTTTATAATTTTAACATACCCACATTGTGAATCCACGCACGCGGCCTTCTCGTCTTTTGTACAAAGCGCAGCCCCCATTCCTTGCTAATAATCTAGGCAAGACTGACTGCGAGCTTGAACTACACGTTTGCTCAAAACGTCCGTTCGTTATAGTTTATTAGATTAAATCACGCCTAAGGTCAGCTGAGATCACCCGTCGGGTATGTCGTGCGCCACTGTCAGCTTATTGAAAACAATGGTAAACGTACCGTGCACGTACAACGTCCATATTCAGATAATCCGCACAATTTTTTTATATGTCATATAGCATTCGACTGAAAACTCTTCTCATATGGTAGCACAGTGTCTTGGAACGCCTCTTTTTCTATATTGGAGTTGTTTGTTGCTACTAGTTTCGACTGCGATGGGAAAATTTTTGGCCTGCAGATAGCTCGTTCCGTTTTGCCTAGGAGCAACGAAGATCCGCAAAATTGCGCAGTCGCTGTTATCGCAAAGGTACGTTATGCTTAGAACGGGTGAGTCGAAATGAGTTAGTTCCATACGATTAGACGAGGTGGCCGCGCTGGCGAGAAGAATGCTGTGCAGGTGACTGCCTCTCCTTGAAGGAAAGAAGATAGCGCCGCAAGCGGACCGCTAAGTCAAGCATCTTTGGCTCGGGTAGCCGAATAAACCAGGCAGAAACCATACGGCGTCTACCAAACTTCGAATGCAGTATTAGACCACTCACATGCTGCAGTCGGCTACTTCTGTAATTTTATGGCTGGCACCGAGTGCCCAGGTGGGCGTATCGAATAATACGCCCAGGTGCGCGAATCACACCCCCTTAGCAACACAAGGTTATTATGTTGCTAAGATCGAACGAACTGCGCTGAGATACAGAAATTAGTCTAATTAACACACAACGGAACTGGCCTTTATCAAACAGATTTGGAACGCTACCTCAGATCCGTACACGGATCTTACTCCACATTAGTCGACACTACAGAGAGTTTGTCGAACATCGTAATTAATTCTGACTGGGCCCCTGATGACCTGTCGGCGATAACGAGGCTTCCGCAGGGCCCACAGTGGTAGTGTGATGTGGTTTCCAGTAATAAAAAGTAGGCCGGAGCAGGTCTTAATACTAATGACGCAATAGTTGAACGCTCTGTTTAACCTTGTAAAATAGGTTGACAGTGAGCCAAAGGAAAATGTTCAGTGGGAGGACACCGTATAATTTTCGTAGGGAACAAATCGGTGCACTGACCACTAGCAAAATTTACTTGTAAATTGCACAGGTGCCTGTTGATAGCAGAGAATAAATAAGAGGCTAATTTAAAAATGGCCAGTAGACTAGCACCATCGAACCCCATGACAACTGGACCACAATCCCCCCATGCTAGCTTCGTATCTTGGGTCTACCTGTGATTATCTCTGAGACAGCACTCCATTTGTCGTAATTAGCGGAGCATTAATATATAATTAAAAAGCCTGGCACCAATGTTTCTACTAATAAGCCTGTTCAGACAGAAAATTTTCAGATAAAGACACTTTGCTATGAGCACGCGTACATTTCCATTAGGCAATCTTGTTATGTTCGTCCACGCTTTAGGCAATCATTTATACAACAAAAATATTTAAGAAATGGTACGATGATCTACGAAATCCTTGTGCGCTTCCTTAAATTGAATAGAAAAAAAAAAAGTTAAGCTGGATCGAAGAGAAAGTTTTACATAGGCAGTATTTAATATCATACTTAAAATCAATAAACACTTCCTGTAGTTTGAAATTTCATTTCGTTTCTGCTAGCCGCAAGAAGATTAGGTTCCCAAGTTCTCAGCGAATCCAGACCTGACACTAAATTTTTTTTAATGACACTCCATCTATAGCTGCCTTATCCCACGTTAGCCCAAGGTGGTTCTGTGACCATCTGTATTTATACGCTGGTTGTCCAACTGCCTAGGTAAGACCTATTAGAATGTGATCTATGGTCTAAGTCATTTTTCCTTGAAAAACCGTGAAAACAAGCGTTAAACGAACCGTATCGGTAGCAGTCGTAGGGAAATTAAAACGACCTGGCCATGCCTCTCGTATTAAAAATCGCACAACTAAGAAAAAATATTACCCACATCGTTTGCGATTTTAAAATTGAAAGCAAAACAATAACCTAAAATTTTCCATGTACGCTGCACGAGGACGATATGAAATCTTATTTTTTGAAGCAGAACTATCCATATTCCCAGTGTATCCAGTGTACGACACTAAACAAAGATCACTTTCTAAAGAAAATGGCCAAAAGTTGTAACGGAACGACAGACGACGATCTATCTAAAACTTGCTCGAAGAGCTAGTAAGCCAACAGTTCCGTATGAACAAGTCCTGAGAAGGTCACTCTTGACATACTAATTTTCCTATCATTGAATAAAAATACTTATAGCTTATCACAGTCGATGCTGAAAATTAACAGCCATGTGGGTAGGCTTGGAAGGGATTCGTTAGAGCTGATGACCTAAAGACGCCTATTGTTTGATGGACTGTTAACCATTTGTCTAGTTCGCGCGCGACAAGCTCTATATGCAAATGTCAATGGTCTACTGAAACTGATTTCAGAGCCTCATCAAAAAATCATAGGAATCGTTGGCTTATCAGATAAGCTTTTGTGAGGAAGTTAGCACAAGCCACTGGCTGAAACAAAATCGTAACGAGTATGATGAGGTGTATTGATAATAGAGACGGTTTTAATAACCTGGCCCATAATTCCAATAAACTGACCAAAAACATTACGACGAACTCCTGCAGTTAGTTATATGGAGCAATCGTCGAAGTCAATAAGCAAGGCTGTATGAGATATGAAAATGCAAGTGCCGGGACAACGCATGGAAAAAAATACCGGAAAAAGTATTTTTGATACAATTTGTAATAATAGCTAATTGAGAAACTCCGTACAATTTTCTTTAGCGGTACGATTCGCTCTTCTACAATCATGATCGGTGTTTTAGGTAATATCATAGAGCATAATTGTGACATCCTGTTTTGCATGCTATGGAAGGAGACCAGCGTCAATTTAATTTCCACGCACGAGTACTTCAGACTTTTCGCTTGTATCATCTTAAAGTGCTGTAAGTATCTGATAAATTCAACACCTTTCCGACAATCCAGGTTCTCCATTGTCATGTGACATTATACTTCACCATACGGTAGAATATTATTTTAGGCCATTTAATCGAAGACTTTTAGAAGAAGCCTTTAGTGGTATTATAGGATCCTAATAAATATAGATCATGGCTGATTAGTAGTCTAAATTGAAATTGCATCGAGTCTTGGAATAATGATTGCGAAGCTCGCACGCATTAAATACGCCAAAAACTTCTACACAGGCTTCAATTTGAGGACCATAGCGACGGTTAAATGCAGATACTCCATATAAACGTGCATTCGCTTACGCATATTGTTATAAGAAAAAAAAACAAAAGTTTATGCAAATTAACACGCAGAGTTTAATTTTCTACACCTCTGTCCGTTGATATACGCACGACGCTGGTGACGCATGCATTAGCTAGACTTCCAAAACGCAAACGGCCAGAAACGAAATCATATTCAGCAAATAAATATATTACAAAAATAACTGTGACAGAGATCGATGTCTGATTATAAAAACACGATCGATAGAGCAAATGTATATGCGCAAACATTCTAAGACTCTCATATAAACAAAGTCCAGATGGCCAAAAGGTATTCTGTTTTTTGAGGTTACATCTACGAACGCACATAACAACGCTCCGTTTTACATTCGATTGATTTCCTAACGCGAACATTGAATTCGATATCCCATCATCATTCGAAGGAAACAACTTCATTACTGCTGGACTTTCGTGTTCGCGCCGTTTCGATATATATGCTTGTGAAGACCCGCCCCGAATATCAAACAATAGGGAAGTCAAAGGACATTGGCTCTTTAAGAATGGCATAGACGACAGTCTAAGAATACGTCGACTGCCAAACTGCTTCTGTTGGTTTCTATGTCATTCGAGGCGAGCGAGTAGGTGGGTGGGTGGGTGGTACCACGAAACGACTAAGTGAAGAGTTTAAACTAATATTTACATAACTAATTGGGAAATCGCAGTGCCATAATTCGACCAGCTAATAGACACAGTGGCAAACATGAAATCCAGTATCCATTCGAATGCCGAAGTGCCGTGTACTTTGGAACTTCATTAATTAGACTAAAATAATGATTTTTCAATATCTGTTCTAATACCTCCTCTATTTTTAACTCACTTCTTCGCTTGCCCTGGCAGCTTCTGGACAGCCATATATATACCTACCATTTGCGTTCCCATATTTAATTGGGCTTCTCGAAGTGAATCAATATTGGATTATACTTGCCCAGAGGACATGGAAAGTTTCGTCATTGCTCGCATCCTTGTCGGGAGGATATGCCGATTGAAGCTGACCTTCCTCGCTCAATTTAATGAGTAACTCAGGCACCGCAATGAAGCCTGACGTTGTGATCAACCTGGTTACTTTATGGCTGCCTGTCGAGATTAAACCATGCCTCATTTATGGGCTGTATACTCCAGGAGGGTTTTCGCTGGTTGAAGTTCCATAAACTACATGTGATATATAATAGCACAAAGATCCCAGCTGGCCCGGAGTTAATTGGCGGGAAACCCATTTCTACCTAGTTTTCGCATTTTCAGTATTTGAGTTATAATTCTTTTATTCGTTACATGTAAAACTTATAGTTGGCCTGTGAAGCCTATAAAATCCAAGCTCTGGTTGTATGATAAACCTCCTGGATTGCGGTCATGCGACAGTTGGTCACCTGCTTCAACACTTTAATCTCCGTTCTTGAAACGTTTGCACCATTCACGTGCTATGCTTTCGCTTATGGTTCATTTGCCTAACGTCTTCACCAATCTTCCACGGATTTACGTACCGCCATGGCCTTCAACGATCAAAGACCTTAGCCCCTACTGAGCATTGATTTTCCGGACTAAAAGTTTTTCGAACGGTTTTGAAGTCATTTTCCCTAACGTAAACTTACCGGGTTTTCATTGCCAACATTCTAGAGCACTTGCCCTCCAAGTTTCTTCTATTGGCGAGTAGTTCAAAACAGAAAATGAAAAAAAAAATTGAAAAAATCAATAATTTCAAGCTCCGCCGGATTCGCTATTCGGATGATAGCCTAATAAATACAGCAGGGGCAACACAAAAATTTATCCCGTAGTCAATACGACGAGCTTCATCCTTTAAGCACGACAGATTTTTTATTCGAAAGCTGTATGCCATTTTCCGCACGCCAATGTATTATTTATGAACTACGTTTTGAACAGTATATAGATATTTAATTTCCGGCAAAACAGCGATATGAGGTAAAAGTCGAGCTAGGAGCACCATTGCTTAACAGCTACTTTGCCACTTACGCGAACAGATAAGATACCTAGCCTGCATTGCCACTAGGACCGATTAGATATACTTGATAATGAGTAATAAATTTTTCATCGACAGCAGTATCTTTTTCAGGCTGTGTTTTCCAGTTCATCAGATAATTGCATCAGAGTAAAATGGTTATACAGATTTATCTATCATTGGTGAAGTTGATTTCATTAATATAGGTAGCCCGCAAGTTCTTTGCAACGTTTATATTTAACGACTCGTATTACTTATAACTATAAAGTAATATTAAAAACTTAAGTAATATAGACCGTCGCTTCCGAATTGTTTATTTTGATTTACGTTTACACAAATACGGTTTAAAAGAAATACGGATTACTGCAATCCTCGATCGCCTGTTTGCATGTGTCTTAAAGAATTACGCTGAGGCTAACACACAAAATTGAAAGGGTATCGTATCGATTGTAGTAAAGAGAACAAACCATTCTAAGTCAATTAGGTATCGATGCCAGGAAGAGTAAAGACCCAGCACAAGATTTATTAAGACGATGGTAACTTTTATTAGATCTAGTTGCAATATGACGCATGGCTTAAGCTATATATTTCCGTTTTATTAGTATTTTTTTTTAAATAAATTGTTCTAAATAATCTCGGGTTATCTAACAAACGGCATCTAAAGATAGAAGTGATTCTATCGCGCCAGAATCATGCGAGCGTCCTATACTAGCTGGCGCTGATGTACTTTTGTAACGGGTGGGTGAAATCATGATATTTGAAACGCGGTCTTAGGTCATCTAAGACTGACTAGCTGACTCGCGATTTACATTGTTATGCTGTTAAGTTATGCACTATGCACATATGTTCAAATAGATCGATATAACCTTGAATATAAGTAGTAGAAATCTATCTAATGCCTTTTAACATTAAACCCAATTGACGAGCAGTGTTACGGGATGTGGGCTCGTCTTGTGGGTGACAGTTTTGTACCTTTGAGCATCTTGGAGCGTGAAGGAGGCATTTACTATCTCTCAAAAACCCGCGTAGGTTTTCTTTGATCGGACCCATCAAATAACTTAAACGACTGTACAAATTGTGCGATGAAAGTTGCTGTAAAATTGGTTAACTTCCTCTGACTTCTTTCATGGATCAACTCGTGTCCACCACCTTGAACATAGAAACTGGCCTGTCATACGCCAATAGGCAAAGCAGAGTTTACTCGAGGCTCTTTCGGTAGGCCCTTTTGCCTTTTCATCTATTGCTTAACGAGTCTACTCTGCCATTGGCCTGACAGTACATTCGCGCATACTGCCGTGCCAGCTGATCGGCAGGTTTGTGCGCATCGTTAATTCTCAACGGAAATCGATGTTCCAAACAGGTACTGCGGTTTTCGACGCCGGACAGCCTTAAACGGACTTCATATTTGTGTAAACAACAGTAAGACCTCTTATTAAACGAAAAGACTCACTAAATCGTTGTAGAATATTATTTGCTTGGGTACTCACGTTGCTTCCGACATGGCACTAAGCTTACTCACGTCGAACTCCGCCTGTAACAATACACTACCAAGTACTAAGGGCACACGATTTCAATGTTTTTTGTGTTTTGCGTCCGGTAAGGAACATACAATTAAAATTAAATAAACCCGCACTTCACTGTTCCACTGCGAGACGAGTTCGTTTGATATCTACGTGAACAATACAGGAAAATGGTCGTTAGTTGGATCCTGCCGAATAACTCAATACAAGCGACCGAGGCGCCACCTGGCAGCGGAAAGGGAATCGCGCCACAGCCTCGCCGTCACCGGATTACGCGCAGACGGGCATTGAGACAGACTTTCTGCTATTCTACAATAACGAGGTGCTTGTTCGATTTGTGTGCAGTATTCCTGCTAGTTAACATGAGGGCATTGTGACTGATATAACGTCACATCCTATTGACGTCGCTTGACGAAAGACAAGGTGGTCTGCACGGCCGCACCAGAAAATATCATGCGGAAAAATAGTCAAGGCTAGACAACGATGCGTATAAAAAATTAAATAGTGTTTAACGCCTTAGAAAATCAACATGTACGCCCGAAGCAATAAGTAGGTTTTTAAGATCTGGAGGTGCTTTCGAAGCATCGAGTTGATAACTTAAGGGTTAACTATTTAACAAGTAAGAAAGGTTATTATTATGTTTTGAGTGTATATCACATGGAAATGTATGCTTTCTATAGTGGCATATATATATATATATATATATATATATATATATACAGCAAATAATTGTTCTAGCTACCTATTTATACATAAAGATGTCATTAGAAATTCTTAAATTTTTAGGTGAGACACTATGGTTGTTCCGCAATCGCAACCAATAGATCTAGCAATTTTTATAGTTTTTTTTATTTTATAGTGACGAAGCGAAACATTTCCGTGGGCAGTTCACACACGGCAGCAATGGACATGAACCCAGTATAAATATCTAATATTTTCCTCGTCCCACGAAAGCCTTACTCCCACACTCGCAAAGACGTTTTAAAGAGTCCTACTTTAGTAGGAAACAAACACAACGTTTCGAATATATAGAACAGTAATAAGATTAATTTTCACGTCAAGGAGTATCCACCAACTAGACACCGGTGGAAATTACGTGGGAGTGAGTAACTTTAATCAGGCATTATCGCATAAAATACGTTGAAGTAAACTAAGAGAAAAACAAAAATTCTGAGTGTAAAGTTTGTTTGCGGTCAAGCTTCATTCTGGATCCATCAGTGAGAAGCGTTTTTAGGAGAGGCTGGCTTAAAACTCGAAAAGTATATTTCGTTACAATGCATCCGTCTCAAAGCGTAACTTTTAAACAATATTATCTAAAGTAAAGATACAAGAATGGGCGCGTACGCCGATCCTGTATAGCTCGCAAGTTCTCTTTACCGGAGATTTGTTTTGTTAGCAAATCATCCAAGATTTGCACACATGTTTTGCTTTCATAATGTTTACGTTAATAATGTTCTAATATGATATAATATATGTACTAATTAATAGTATGTGTTAATAATAATATGTGCTAAAGTTTTTTATTTGGGTAAATACCTTCTTAAAACCGAACGTGTGACACACACTGAAAATATCCAGTTATTCAAAAGCCTTTTATTAAGAAAGTGAAAGTCAACTCAATTTTTTTACTGTAGGAATCTTCGCTAAGGCTTGCTTCGATGATTAACGAGAAAATGACCAATTAAACTATGCGGAAGTAAGAAATATTTGGAAAATTTCCCAAAACAATCAATAGCGTAGTCGCTGTTAATTTCAAAAGGGTCGCATGTAACTACTGGGAGTTTACCTTTTTCACAAAATATCAGCTGTGTTATTTCTACTAAGAATGGCAAACTTTTATGTACTAATCGTGTAATGGGATCAGCCCTCTTTAAACCTTGACTAATAAATACATGATGAGTCTAGAAATAAGCAACTTAAGTCAGACTCCTAGCCTATATCAGATATTGTGCGCAATAGAGACAGCAATCTATTTCCGTAACGTGCCTTTAGAGACCTGAAACATCAAACGTATTGGCGGAATACACAAAGCTAAATATCTTGGTATCAGGTAAAGAAGGGGACAGGCAGAAGGGGTCCCAGTTTTGGTAGATGCGTGAGAGCCAAACAACTTGTCTATAATCTCTTAACGTTGTCAATAAGCCCTCCTCTTTTTAATTAATGGTTGTGCGCAAGTGCTAATGGTGTATGCGGGCTAAATCATTGCAACGTTCTGTCACGCAGCTGAGGTTTGAAATGCAAGCAAATTATTTAAAGCATCCCCTACTATTTTAATTGCACTATTTAGGACTCACGCCAAAGTGTGCATGTAAGAGCATCTCTAGTTCCAGTAATAGACCTTCAACTAAGCAAATGACAACTTTTGCACTAACTCTATTTATTATTCATATTAATTTAGTTCCCATAGGATTCATAATGAGACCTCATGAGAACCCCAAATAATGTACGCTTTCTTTACAACGTATTTGACTGCTTCTATTGCTTCTACCCAAGGTAAAAAGCCAGAAGGAAAGTAGAAGCTTGCTTTCCAACTTGTAACTCCAGGCCTACTTAGTTCACATTGAGGCCGACTTGTATTCTGAAAAGCTCAATACCTAAGAGTTCTAACTAATCGAGACAAATTAACATAAATATTATTTGTTTTTATGCGCCAATTACCGTATTTACTCGGCCTAGCTCTGGACCACCTTATGCTCTTGAGAAATTTAAAGAAAAACACATGCATATAGAGCTAATTGATTGTGGCCTAATCTTATGATCAAATTTCGATAATTTATTGAAATATCTTACAATTATCCTTTCGCATCTACACGAAAGTACGCTGATAAATAAGAGCCATTTTTTTTACAAAGATCATAACAGCTAGTCCAACCATTTACAGAATACTGTATTAAGGTCTTAGTAAAAATAACATGTCAATATCATTGCATCGTTAGCCAGAACCTTCAAAAACGCGTTAGATATGATCCGGGGCATGTGGGTAAGATAAAGTACGATAAAACTTGAACACTATTAGAAAGAGGCAAACTTGAAAATTACAATAGCTTAAGATCGTACAGACGTATGTCAGAGTCATCGCAGTCAATGTAAAATTATCATAATACTACAATTAGAAACACCGTTCTATTGCCTAGACTAGTCGAATTCTAGATGTTCTAATGCAGTCAGTGCACATTTGCCCTTCTCCATATGAATATCTACCCACTGTAATAGTCTTATTGAAAAAAAGATATCAGCATTTAAACGCGGATTCGTCGTGCCAACTAGCGTCTCCTTGGCACATCCGCGAATAGAAGGATATGCACACTCAAGAACAAAAAAAGCCAGAATCCATTGTTCAACAATAGCGTGGTACAAGTTTAGTTGGCGAGTGCATGAAAGATTTAGCAGTGAGCCAATATGGCTAAGGTAAAGAAAAATCATAAGTGTTCGTTAATTTATGTGGTGTGTCCTTTTCGAAAGCGCATTTGCCAGTGCCTCACTTGACCTCAAACGATTTCTCAGTTAGCATTGGTACAATTAATAGTAGCTCGCGGTAGCAGTTTTATGATGCAAGACTCTAACCAGTGAGAAAGGTGGACTTACTGACTATAATTTCCAGCTTGCTGTCGCCGCATTACTCCTGGCAAATGATGAAATTTTAGTACGCCAACCTCTTTTCTTCATCAATCCCTCATAATAATTAGTAGGCTATAAATTTACTAAAATTGTCAGTCGAGCCATAGCTGTCTTAATTAGAAATATCATTGTTGGACACAGGGTGTTGACTCGGCGGTTCGGTAAACTTTGCCCCGGTGCTTCTCTCCTAAAGCCACTAATTGGTAAAGTCAAAAAAGCTATTACAGAACATTTCTCTAATTAACCAAACGTGAGTCGTGTAAACTGAGAAAATTCGCGCTGTTTTGTAGCTAATTGCAATCGTTCAAAATCCAGTCGTCTGGAAAATAGAGCTCGAAAGCATATGAATCCTTCGACAGGTCAACAACATTCAGGCGAATGAAAATGATCAGCAAACGCCCTGCGTATATAGTAGGCGTGGCTCACATGTACATATTATAGAGAAAAAAAAAAAAAAGAAAACAGTTTTAGTAACAGGGTAATGCATACGAACACTTAACAGGGACGGTGAGCCACTATCAACAAGCTATTACAATAACTTGTTCTATCTAAAAAAGAAAAAAAAAAAAAAAAAACTAACAGTGACATAACTATTTGGATTATGCAAATCTACACGAGGGAAAATTTACCTTTTACCAATTTGCTAAAGACGCAGTTAAAGGTCAATGCAATTATGGTTCATAGTATTGATCGATTTCTGTCCGAACACATAAAAACGCGGCTTCTGATCAAAGATTAGTTCGAATTATTCCTATGAGTGCGCGCAGCTGGTAACGAATATAAGCCTAGTTAATGTTAAACAAATGCAGTATTGATTCAGTGCTACCGGTGCTCATGTTTCGAGGGCGTAAATAACGTTTGTCGAACCATTACTCTGGCTGGAAAGGATCGTTCAGTTCTTCGACAATAGCGTATTTTACGTATATGCACTCTGGGATGATTTGGCCATTATTCGAAGATTCCCTTATTCGGCTTTACCAAAACAGCATCGTTTATCATAGATTTGTCTGCTAGTTTCAAGCATAATAGATCTATACCTCTGAAGTCGACATAAAATATGCCGTCATCAAATGCCGAACTGATCAAATGTGGAAAACGAGAGAGCTATGCTGCATGGATGTGTTTGTTGTATTACATCGTGGGATTATGGGCGGCTATGTCTGTCCTAGTGAAGGGTGGAGCTTTGTCAGAGGATCGGCCTGCCGTGGCCTTCTGTCAAACTAGCAGCAAAGACTTCGCCCAGGTATCTTAAGCACGCAGTTAAGCACATTAAAAAAAAACACCACATAGTTACTCTGTCCTATACGGTCCTCATTTGGCAGTGTAACAGAAACTTTATTCTTAAAAGCCGAACGTGGGTTTTAAAATGTGAATCGAATGTTGTTCGTAAGGGCCTTAAAAAAGCTCCGTTATCCGAAGTGCAGTAACATGTAACAACCGCGTTTGTAACGTGTTACACAAATAATCTATACCCAAAAGGTTTTGCAGTGTCCTATGACAGGCCGAGTAATAAAATGTATTACTATAGTTATCATACGAAAGTTTGATCTGTGGAACGGTGTCGAAAATAGCCTATGAGAGACATGGCAAATCTCATCGGATTTAGTTTAGTCAGCTAGTGTGTCAAACCCGGGTACTTCAGTGCCACAGAAGAAAACACTTCGTATGTTTGTGTACTGCTGGTCTACTAGTACTCTAAAATCTCAGAAAATGCAAACTGCTAGCCGATAATAGTGATCCACTGACAATTTAACAAACGAAAACATCAAAATACATGGCGATAGCTTATTAAGTAAAATGGAAGGCCGGCGTTCAACATGGCTAGTTTAACTGACATACGAAAAAATGCTACTTTTCGAAGAAACGTTTTTAGGCCTTTACCGAAGTCGTTGATGTACAACTAATGCTGTTACCGTTCGCGTGGTGAGTTTGATGGAGATCGTTAAGTACCGATAGCAATTCTTTGCCTTCGTTTTTTAAGCTGTGCGTCGTTTGTGACAACTGTATCAATGAATACCCGACCAACGGTCCCTTCGGAAGTTACTAAGCACCGTTGCACACCGTTCTGAAATCCTCAATATTAAAAGCAATAGCGAAATTGGCTTCTGATAGCCGTTACGCAAGGCTTTCCTTTTGTGAACTTTTATATTTATATGTTTATTTGAAAGTGCCTGCTTCGAGTATGGGTTAAATGCAACTAGCGACAAGTAGATCTTGAAACAGTTTATGTCACCCTTCTCTGATTAATGAAATCTTCTCTGATGAAATAAGATGAATGAATACCTTCGTAGTTATTATGTGATTGATCATCACCCAAGTCAGGTTCCCTTTTTCTCACGAAGAACAGTTCAGTGATGCGTAAACCTAAATAGAGCGACAGGTATTAAATAAATAGAGCTCGCTTCCCTAGTGTGTTGCACACTGGCTATTTGAACCGGTCCTTTTGAATATTTTATTGTATTTAATTTTATTGTATCTAAAATCGTTCATTATCTATAATTAATAAATAGTACGATTTATGGAGCTCCAATTTAGCGCGTCGAAGTTTAGGTAATATTTACACTGATAGTTCTGAAAGCTAGACAGTATATAGGGTTATATAGCTATCAGAGGCTATTCATCACATGGAGCTCCAATTTAGCGCGTCGAAGTTTAGGTAATATTTACACTGATAGTTCTGAAAGCTAGACAGTATATAGGGTTATATAGCTATCAGAGGCTATTCATCACATCTGTTAGCGTTAGCTCCTGGGCAAATCATATTTCAATAGAGCCCACCTATGAAGATAACCATTCGTTCGAAACATCGTTCGTCTTTTGGCACACCTATAAACCCAATGCTGTGGACTAAATCGTCGATGCACAGTCGATGCCATTAGTGATATGGCTAGGTATCATTTCGGCAGCTGATTACTACCACGTTACGTTCGTGGATCCATTCTATACGTATTTTGCACATAACTTAAAATTGTCAGTTATTCCAGTTGAAAAAGCTATGCGACACATTTTTTAGAGGCCTGCCAGGCATTAGTGGACGATTCGTATCGCTGGCCTTCATATAGTGCCTTATTTGATGTTAAATAAAACCAAATGTAAATCTAAAACTTACCGTGGATTAGTACACAAGCGCAATATAATATATCGCATAGAAGGTATTACACATCATTATGATATTTATGAATTTTGCTATTTGTTCTCACAGCTCCTGATAGCTGGGTTTCAAGCGGCAGACCCGAGCAGAGGTGGATCGAATAGCATCACGCTCAGAAACCTGAGCATCTCGATTCCGATGTTCAAAATTCGTGAAATTGAATTGAAAAATACACAAAATTTCTTCGTCAATGAAGACTCAACCATCACGTGCGACGAGAACGACATTAAAGTGAATCTAAGTTTTGGTATGAGTGTAACAACGATAAGTGGTCTGATTACCTTTTGATCAGAATGCTCTATGACTGCTGCCTCGACCCTACCTAAACATCACGAACGACAGCTCTGTTCCTAAACTATTGATGTATCTGTTCTCTAGCTTGAACAAATCTATTAAATGACTCGAGCATACACCATATGTGAAATAGAATCGATCAGTGTCAAAATCCTTTTCTCTGTCCACTGTGCTTTTGTTTTCTTTCTATACTTTCGCGGCCTACGTTGCTCACTGTCTGCTGTTTCGAGTCATCTAAATGCTAACTGCACGCTGTGTTGAAGGTATGCGAGATCCTGAAATTATTCTAAAAGAGAAGCCTGGATCAACTGGAACCTTTTCTGTAACCTTGTCGTACTTCGAGGCAGAAGCAATAGTCACGTTGCCGCGTAGAGATACGAAAATTATTGTGGACGCGATCAATATCCTTCGGATGGATCATATCAAAGTTGAGGTAAATCAAAATGATTTTGAGTGGACAGTTAGTTAGCCAACTGTAACACTTACGGCTGTGCATTGTAGAGAAGACTAAGGGACGCGCAATGCATTGTTTATAGTACTTGAAAACACACACAGTACCCACAATGGCTGAGTGAACGAATAAGACTGTCAAACGAAATCATTCGAGTCTCTGTGATTTTAACTTTGTACCAAAGCAATTGTTTCAAATCAAGTACAAAGCAAAAGTTCCTCGCAAGACTGCCCAGTACGTACGTACGTACGTACGTACGTACGTACGTGCATATCATACGCACAATTCAATGTTCAGTGGAAACGAACACTGATCAGTTACCTGATCATCAGATCTACAGAGAAGTAGCGTTCATACGTTTTGGTAAATTCAGACTAACCTGACCTTTCAAGTAACCCGTTTGCTGCTAACGAGCCTCTACTGCCAAACAACAAACTAACAGTAAAGTAACGAACACTTCAACTACTTAACTTGTTAAACATTAAAAAAAGTATAGATAAGTTGACCTGATTATCTATTGTCTCGCATTTGGCAAATGATGTGTAGCTCTGTTATTAACAGATAACATTTATCGTTGTTTTCAGGTGAAAGAAAACAGCAGAATCAACAGTGATACGATAAACAATTTACTTAAAAACATACCTAAAAGGACGCTTACATCAGTGATTTCAAAATACATGACGAAAGCCGTTCAGGACTATCTTTATAGCAATCCTTTCGGGATATAGCTTGCTCGGTGAAGTTCCGCGTTCCGATTTCAGGACGATGCGACTTGTTTGTGTTGGCCCAATTTCACCTGTTAGTTAGGTGATTAATAAAATATTAATGCAAAAGTCGAGGCATTGGCGTATTATTTACCATATCAGTCTCATTTTACTCACTTAGTGCTAGTCGATTGTCAGAATACGAATATTTAATGCATGATGTACGTGCGGTATCACCTTCCTTTCAAATATTTTCCGTTCATTGATGAAAAAACGCATGAAGCCGCGATGGTCAGGGTAAGGCTTGTCAACCTCCAATAGCACAAGCGTCAAAGGCACCGTTCCAGTTTCATGCCCACCCGTGCATCCTTTTTCCAAAAAAATCTGTGTTTCCACGTTACGACTAGCGTCATAATATAATATAGAAATAACTGAATACCAAACAATGAAAGCTCTCTTACTAAACCAAACCTGTCAGTTTCAATTATTTTTTTTCTTCTGTATTTAAACAGCCTACAAAATGTTTCGGGAGATAATTTTTCGTACAATATATTTAGTACGTACTGGAATAGCCATAAAGGCATGAGACTATCGATAATAGGTGTTCTGATTTAAACTCGTGTTCCACGCGCATTATCATGAAAAGGAAACTAGTATTTCACGGCACAAAACTTGTGACGACGGTCTAGAGTGACTACTTGATAGCAGCTTCCAATTAATAGAAGCACACTTAGCGTAAGCGTTCTTTACGATCACTGCGGTTTCACTGCCGTCACAATCAAGCAAATATATCAGGTAGATACTCGTAACGTAATAATAATATAACGTTAAAGTTAGTTAAGCTTTATATACATACCAATCATCTATTATTGTATTGACACGCGGAAATTTAACCATCGGTCGGAAAGCGACAGTAACCCTTCACCTTTAATACTTGTCACCAGAGTAAACAGTGGCCATTGCTTTGGCCTATGTGTTGTTACGGTTGATGCGGTGTCCAGCATCGTTTGTTTTACTGCATACTCACTGGAGATTAACTGACATTGTCTTCCCTGGGATAGACGGAAAGCGAGCGGTGATATCGTTCTATTTTTACCGCGATCGCTATGTATAAATACTATAGGTTTCTATATGTCATTGTCGTTGGCTTGGACGAGCTACGCATGTAAAAATAAGGCCAGCCGCATCTAAATAACGCCGATAAGCCCTTCAGTTATACAATTTATTGAGTGGCAATAGATTTTTTTCGTCCTTCTGTTTGACGTCGCGGTTCGAAGGACCGTTATTTCTACTATATATTGTAGCTATGAAATGCTGTGGAATAGTGAAAACAATACCTAAAATGTCCCTATAAATTAATGCCTCAACAGGTCTACTGTAAAAAATGCTATATTCCCTTTTTTGAAGAGTATGCGATCGAGTGGCACCGGTGAGGACCGAAGGTGACGTTCCTTAATATCTCAGTTGTATTTAAGGCTCTTTTATTGTACTGCCCTAGAGCTAATTTAAGAATGTAGTGGCATGCCGCATGCGTCCTCAACACCGTAACTTGACTACCAGGTACATAAAAACACATTATTAAAAATGCCCATATTACTATGCTCTGAACGATTCGCTATTACTAGATAGTTTCCTTGGCTGAGTCACTTATACAATGCTTGGAAAAGCCGTCGTTGAAATTCCGAATATTAGATCCGTTTTTAGTTAGCGACTACTGAGTTGAATAGATCAAATGAGAATTGATCAAGGAATACTTTGAAAACGAAGCAGATTAACTATACGTATTTGCAAATCCTTCTTCTAATTATAGATTTGGGCTGTAGGTATTAAAACCAAGTGAGGACAAAACCCCAATAATCCACATCTAGCTAGACTTACCTTTCACGCTGGAACTCTAGCCTCTATGTTTCGAGTCTTGCGCCCGATATAGCCGTTAGGTATTTTATCGGAATTCCATTAAGATTTAGATATTAAGGTTAGTTAGTAGGAATAACATTACCCACTAAGCGATCACTGGAACCTAAACAAACCTAGGAGTGTTTCCATACGTTTGAAGGTCTTGCTTTTAGTTGATCGGCGTCCGATTGGACTCGGCGTTCTGGAGATTGTCACGGTGCCTACAGTTTCCTCTAGCCGCCTTTGCAAATCAAACAATGGCTGCTCCGGTGTGATCTTAATAATAATAATACTAACTGAAGACATAACTGTGAGATTGTAACTAGTTATACTCTCTTTGACAAACGACACAGTAATAGTTAAACACTGGCCGAACTGTAGCAGGATCTTTATGCGCTTTTTTGCTCTATGAAGAGACTACGCTATAATATCTGCTAAGTTATGCAAGTTGTAGATGCAGTTCTGCATGGCTTTTTCTGCAAGATGTGACGGTTATCTTTATGCTGTTTATAGAATTTAAGCAGGCAGTCTACGCTATTGCTTTATTTAGCCTACCTGAGAACGGCCTTCTTCACACGCGATTCCGCAAGGCTTCATTCCCGTCCAAAAATATCATGGCTGAATTTCTATTTGTAGATGTCGTGTGCTGTTCCTACCTTATTTTCCGTCTTCCCCACACTTTCTTTCTTAGGACTTAACTCCCGGTTTCTTGCAGGTCGCGCCAAGGCTCGAAAGCTTTTAGACTCAGACAGCCACAGGCTGGAGCATCCAACGTTGTCACCGCTTGAAGTTGGAATAGGATTTTTACTCGCCGTTATCTCTAGAGCAGGAGACATAGGGCGAGATAGATGAATCGGTCATTCAACCGCTAAAAATACGCTCGTATATGTGGGGCGACCAAACAGAAATGTTTTTTTCTGAATGACGTCATCACCGTGCCGAATTGCACCGCGTAGCTTTGTATGTCACCAGGTAAGAAGAAGAAGAACACAGTAACCAAAAAGACAAAGTCAAAATGGGCAAAAATAGGAATGAAGACATGAATAAGATAGCGAACACGTTATACCTAGGCATCAATCTAGAGGTTTGGCAAAAGGGTCAGATGGTCTTTGCCTTCTGTTTGAAAGCGGGTAAACAAAATTCGTGCTAACATAGGACCCGTTTCTCGGTTAGTGCCACCGAAGCCGCCATCTTCTTGCTTTGAATTTTACTGTATTTTAAATTTCAGCCTTCAATCCTATAAAGATCACCTAAAAAAGCCGTTGCGCATGCAACACAACACGCGAGTCTATAACTGGATTGGCCTAAGTCCTTGCTGCGTTCTTAGAATTCCCAGCAACGTAGTCGCTCGCATGTCTTTCAAAAGATTCGTACGATCTGCTGGAATAATTCAAGCAAACCTTGACGAAATACAGAACTAAGAGATGAGCTTCATTTATAACTGGGCCCTGTAAATAAACAGTCACGCTGGTAGATTAATTTAGTTAGAGGAAGGCTGTTAACTGCCTAAATAATGACATGGTTATGTGCGGATTGTAGGATTCAGAAAGTCAAGATTTTATCAATCACTAGAAAGGTGGCTAAGGCACATTTTAGGACCCCTGTATAACTTCTTCGAGGCGTGGTGTTCGTATGAGTTTATATCTAACTGCTCGTACAAGATATTTATTCCAGACGTTGCAGGAACCTAGAATTGTACTTGTATAGACTTTGACTACAGACTGCAGCTTCATACATTACGATTAAATTTTCAATTCCCGTCCGTATTTGCTGAACGTTTTTCATAGGAATGCGCGCGACTCTATATATTATTTATTCAAATCACTGAAGCACCTACTTCGCGCAAATTTAATCGAAAACAATACGAAACGACACAAAATAAAAGTTCAATTAAGATAAATATTTTTCATATCTAAAGAGTTGGATTGCTGCTGCCCCCTAGTGTCGTACTGTAAGTGCATCAAGGATATAACCAACATTAACCTTATGCAGATTACGCAAGTGTCTATCAACACCTGCTCTTGTGTCGAGCCAACAACCGACAGCGCGTCGTTAAAGCCATCCTCTTGAACGACGAAGGCAGACCGATCACAGCTGGAAACACTTCAGCTCGTTGTGTTGGCTGTTTTCGCTGACTAAACGCACTGGTGATGGTAACGCTAGTGGTGATGGTCTTATTTCTTCTATTAGTTCGGCCAAATCTATCCCACGACCCAGTCAACAACTCAGGTAACTAACGGCAGTTGTGTCGATCTCATCTACTACCAACATCAGTAGCAGGAGCATAAACCGCCCCCGGGGTCGAACCGTTACCGATCGCGCCGAAGCCGTTAGTGCGTCTCTCCGGTCCGGAACACTTGTCCATCCCAACGACTTGCGGAGCTTCCGGGTAATCCATGTTATCGGAAGAAGGGGAACGCAACGGAGCAGAAGCAGAAAGAGGGACTATGACTACAACGACGACAACGAGAAAAAGAAACAGACGCTGAGAACTTCCAGCCGATCGTAGCATATAGCAGTTTTGTTCAAACAAATCTGCTTAGTATAACTATCCCCGACGCTCTCTGTATTTACAAAGGCAATCCTGGCAACAGGATGATACAATGCAAAGCGTTTCCATCAAAAAAAAAAAAGCAAGAAAAGACGGAAAGTCTCTTTTTACTTGAAATTTAAACCAAAAGCCGTCATTACTAAAAATGCATATGCCGATAGTTTACATTTAGATTAAAAAAAAAATTTATGCAACGTGTCACAAGTACCCTAAGGCTACTATGTTGTTATCCGATTTCGTTAGTATTTATCTAAAATCCAGCAGTTATAACTACTGTTGTCTTTTAAATGGTTTCATTTACTCGTATCAGAGCAGCCTGTAGCATGCCTATAAATGGTGCTAAAATATCTGTTACAAATGTGTTGCGTAAGTAAATCGGCTTTTTACTGCTGTGAAACAAAGACTCCTGAGCTGTCCAGAGAGATGCTTCGGCTACTTCGTACTTCTGTCAATAACTATTCAATGCTATATGTAACTAGCCCTGTTACTGCGTGTCATTACTTAGAGCCTTAATAGGAGCGAACATCATCAGAAGCCATGAAATACTGTTTACCATAAACTTGAAATGTACGCATTCCAGATCCGCTTACACCGAACTGCACCACTGGTAGTCTCATAGCCTATATAAATTGCCAATGCGATACTATTAGGCAACTGGTTAGCGGATCCATGTTACGATATGAGGCA